AAAAAAAAAAAAAAAAAAAAAAAAAAAAAAAAAAAAAAAAAAAAAAAAAACTCGAACGTAGCGCAGCAGATTTGATCCGTGTGTGCCAAGTTATTTTTGTTTAACAACTAAATAAAAAAAAAAAATCAATAAACTACAACGAAAAAAACAAAGATTTTTCAAGTTATATCCACAAATCACCAAATGATGTACTAAAAATTTTAATACCGAAACGTGTGACGTGAGCAAGAGTGATTACTGTTAAAAAAAAGGGGGTGAAAAAGCTTAGCTAACAAGAGGCCTCCACTTAATTGTTAAAAGCTTTTAAAAATATTACCATTAATTGTTGTTAGTTATAAAAAAACAAGAGGAAGCCCCTTCGAGGTTAAGGATTTTTATTTTCGCAGTTTATTTACAGCTCGTCAAACTCGGAGAAAAAAATACATTGTTGGTGCATGAAAAATTAAAAAAAAAATCATAGGTATAAAATAACAACTAAAACAAGGTGAAATAAAAATCATAAGTTGTCCAATCCACATGAACGAATGAAACTTTTGTCTCCGAGTGCAGTAGTTCGGGAAAAGGAATTACACGCTGCCAAGGATTAAATGGAATCCTTTATCCTTAATGATTGATTTTCCTACGGAAAAGGGATATTAAAGAGCTTTTTTTTTCGTACCGAAAGTAATGCGACACTTTTTTAATATAAAAACCATAGTAGTGGATAAAAAATATAAAATATGCATAGTAAAATAGTTTCCTCGACATACTTTCGGTACGAGTATAGATCCATTTCTTCGTGATGTAAAAGGAATGGAGTCAGTGATCAGGGGAGTTTACACCCTAGAGATCGTTGGGGAAAACAATGTAGTCACAAGTATGCGGGCGGACAAAAATTGAGTCTTCGGGATTTGAATTGATTCACTGGATCTGGACCTGGAAGTAAGTATGCAGGAAACCTGGAAATAAAGGGATTAGACAAGATAGTACGACGTTCATCTTGCTGAACTGCTTTTTTTTTTTTTTTAATTTTTGTTCCATATTTCTCATTTTCCTCCTTGAATCTGCCACTGCTGCTGGTACTGCTGCTTCCGCCGATATGCTTCGTGTCACTGATGCTCAGTTACATCTATCTCTTTAGTTTTTTAACGTACGAGCTACAAACTTGGAGATGGTCCATCTCATACTGTTCAACACGCATCTCTTATTGCATAATGTGCTCGTTAAATATATATGTTTATCTACCACTGCTACCTGATTGCACAGATTTTTGTATAACGCCATAAAATAATCCACTGTTTTCCTACTGGCATTGTATCGTTTGTAATTTACTAGATGTATTGGGACAAAGTATTGACACACTACTTAGTTCAGTATTCTCGTAACGATAGAATAAAAAAAAAAATCTTCAATGCCGTATAATCAATGTTTCATTTAAATATATTCTCATAGGCATTATAAGGTTTATCGTTACGAGAAAGAGAATATATTTATAATTTATTCCTCTTTATGATGATGATGATGATGATGATGATGATAGAAGAGTGACAAATAGTACAAGGACCACGATATTGGTAGTCACACGATTTCGCAACAAAAAAAACCCATGTTTTGATACATCTGCACACTCAAGAAAATTTTTCTGGATCAACTATTTTCCAAGTACACTTGCATCGTTTACGTAAATAAGAGCACACACATCAATCAATTTTGACTTTAGGTCAAAGAAGACACACTCGTAAAATATACCACTGACCAGAAACAACATCACTTGATTCACAGCCTCAATTAATAACAATAAAAAAAATAAAAAAATAAAAAAACAACTCAGGTAAATATTCTCTAAGGACAGGTCGCGTAGGTGGCTCTCGCGTCGAGCCGCACTTACCTCATGTTGATGAGATACTGGGCGAGGGCGACAGAGTCCGGGTTGCCGGTAATGGTGATGGTGCGATCGGTGGGCCCGCCTTCGCGTTCCTCGCAATTACTGATTCGTATCATGGCCCCGGATATCTGGCGTATTTCGGCGATCTTGGTGCCGCCCTTGCCGATGATGCAGCCGATCAACTCGTTCGGCACCGTCATCTCGTGCGTCTGATTGTTGGCGGCCGGCTGCTGTCGGTTCGTGTTGTTGGTGCGCAACTGGCTACCCGCTAATGCTGCCAATGCTAGGCCGTCAGGTCATAAAAAGAAACAGAATTTTGAATTAACGATTTGATGGTAGTGGATTTTTATTTTTTTTATTTTGATTTCTCTTTACTATACTTTTAAGGGCAGTCTAGACATCATTAGAATTTCCTCATTTATCGGTCATGACTTTATTACATTTTTGTCTGAATAAATACTTATTTTGTGAAATAACTTGAGAATAAATTAAATCTAATGAGGGTCGTTCTACCGTCAGGTGGCAATAGTGTGCCCATATGTAAGATTTTCACAGAACATTATTTATGTATTCAATGGATATATAGTTATACTTTTGTGGAAATTGTCCACGGGTACACTATCGCCACCTGACGGTAGAATAACCCTCTCTCGGCGTAATTTGTGTAGATTTAAAGAAGAAAAATGATAACTACGAAGTTACACAAGTGATACGTCATTATAATATACATAGTTTAGACAATATATAACATCCTAGTTCTCATTTGAACTCTTGATCAATATCACTAAATTAGGGCTTGATTTATTCTTTGGAGTTTCAAAAATGCTCGTCAACTCGTATTTTTTAAATAAAATAGCTTTTTGCTTAGTCCATTACGTAATAAAATCCAAACAATTTAACTGATAAGGTAAGAAACTATAATGATATCTATACTGCTTTAAAGGGAACAAAGTGCCATTCACACAACGATCTATCTTACCGACGAAATGTTGTTTTTTTTTTTTAAATGTTTTCAACAGTAAGTATTCGCTGTATGCAAGCCCTTGGAGGGGCTAAAAAAGCGATCTAAGAGCCCATGGTGAGACAGTATTAATTTTATTTTGTTAAATTCGATATCCGTACCGGAAAACAATATTCTACCGGTAAGCTAGATCGTACTTGGAAGGTCGGCATCCCCTTAATGAGCAACTTAATTTTTTTTTTTTTTTTTT